GCTCTGGATTCCAGTTGGCACCGCTGGCCGCCACACTTACTTGACTGGGCAGTATATTGGATGTTTCGCGCACACTGCCTACAGTGTGCAATGCGGGGTACACTAAAAACAATAATAATAGTAGCAAGTCAGTTCTTATCTGTCACCTGAACATGGCCGCCATGCGAAGACGTCTGCGTCTGGGGCCAGGTTCATCTGTAAAATTTGCGCGCCGCTTTTGGAACAGCCACATATTAGCACAACAACGAAAAAGTAACGCACGCAATGTACAGACGCAGGGCAAACGCAATGTTTACGGTGGAAAGGCAGCAACAAGAGTATATTTGCAACGCGCACTTTTTATACAAATGCGAATAATTTGTAAGTAGAGTGAATTTAATGCCGGCTGATGCCATTTCGACGCCGCGTTCAGAACTTGTGTCGCGAGTGCTTGTTATGTTTATAGGCGCTCAAAATTGCGTTGTTACGGCCGTTTATACTTACCAGTTCTTTTGTTTGTATGAATGTACGGAAAATATATAGAATATTTTAAATTTTCTACAATCAAAAGTTTGATCGCCTGAAATTTAGCGTGCTGACGGACAAGCTGACATATCGACAAAGCAACCACATCAACATAAAAACGAAAATGCCAAAAAAAATACTAAGAAAAAATACTGTATACAACTAGAAACACTTTGAATGTCGTTTTGAACAATTGTTATAGAGGAATTTTAATTCTACGAACTTTATTTTATTTACCTTAAGTATTTTTGAATACTGTTGCACTCATTATTAAAAAAAAATATTCAAAGTTTTGGCAAAACTTTGTTGCGCAAAATGTATTTTGCAGCACTAGATAGTTGTACGAAAACTATCGAAACTCGATTGTGCGATATTTTAACACATATTTTCCGCCTAAAACTGAAATGTGTCGCCATTTTGTTTATTTAAATGAATTCATGCTACGGCCGACATAGCCGCAAATGTATTTATTATATGAATTTTCTAATGGCTAGAGATAGTGTTAATCCTTGTTCTGGCAGCAGAAAAACAAAAAATTCCACAGCAATGTCGTTGATCCATACAAAGCGCCCGCCAGGCCCACCGTTGCCTGAAACGAGTAGTTCACAACGACCCAATGGGCAAGAGCGCCCCAGATGAGTATCAGCAGACCATTGGTAAAGTGCACCGGCCGGCGTATGGCTGTCCAATTGGCACGCGTCATGCCCAACTGGAAGACCATCTCCTGTAGAAAGGCGGTGACCACCTGGCCGAAGCCCAACAGCACAGCCGAAACGCTCAGCAGCAGCTTGGATGTGGAGAAGCTAATAACTATGGGATGGTGTGTGACAATAAACAACAAGTTGTACGTAATGGGATTTTAAGGCTACAATGCTTACAAATAAGCGCCAGGCACTTGCAGATGCTGCCCAATGTGTACCACTGTAGCTTGCGTTTGTAAAGGCTGGAACCAAAACGCGGCGTCATCAGCGAAAAGCACATCCATGGAAAGGCGAGCAGCGAGAAGAGAAATGGAATTTCGGCATTCTTGAGCGCATGATGGCTAACAGCCAATCCCGGCAGCACAGTCAGGCACATCACATAACTGAAGATGTCCGCCGAGAGCAGCAACGTGCTGGCATACAGCTGCGGCACCATCAGCGCATGCTGCAGCGGCATGGCAATCTTGTCCAGCAGATTCCACCACAGATGCGAGGTGACCGCGCGTGACATGCGTCGTATGCGATGCTGGCAACAAGGAAAATATGAGTATCGGAGATGCACAGTTTTCTACGCTTGCTTACCAGATTCACGTATGCCTCCGGCAGCGGAGATGAGCTGCCCGTGCCAGTGGGATTCAGCGGACTCTGCGCATGGAGTCGACCATTTGAATGGGACTTGTGCAGCACTTGCGATTGCGACATGCTGTAATTATCGATGGTGGCATTGCTGGAACGCATTATGGACACCGTTTCATCCTCTTCGGGTATTATCTCCATAATCTCAACGCCATTGGGATTAACATAGGTGACATATGCCTCATCCGTGGCGAGCATATAGTTGCTGTGCGTATCCACGACGGCGGCGGCCACAGCTGCCGCTGGCGCTGTGCTGTTCATCTCTGTACCCGGATTACGCCATGACATTGCCGTATCCAGCCCGTCCAGCTGATCAGCCACAAAGTTAGCCGCTAGCGCGGCACGCAACGGCAATGCGCCGAATCCCGTTTCAGCCTTGATCACTGATATTCGCTTGGTGGTAAATGCATCCTCCCGATGCTTGGTGATGATCAGGCTCAGTGGTATGAGATTCACCAGCATTGCCGACATCAGCACAATCGACTGTGCTGTGCCGTACAGAGTGCGCAGGCTGGTGAAGACGAACGAGAGGAACAGCTGGCAGAAGGCCTCGCCGCACAGATGAATTGTTTTGCGCACGTATTTGTCCTCGCGCGGACGCACTGCCTCCAGTATAACATGGGTTTTCCACAAATACAGGCTGGAGCCAATACCTAAAAGGCCACTGGGACTTTCAATCGATTTGGCTGGCAGCTGGCGCCAATGTTTCGCTTACCCGCAAAGCAGCCGTAGAAGACAATGGCCACCGTTTGCGTGGTGGTGGTGACCACCACCCAGGCGGACGAGAAGAATATGCCGCTGATCATCAGCGATAGGCAGGCAATCAATGTGGCCAGCAGAAAGATGCGCCTATATTGTGTCGTTTCCCGGGCACGACCGCTATACTCTGTGTCCAGATGCTCCATAATGGAGCGGCAAAGCTCGCCGGTGGCCTGGTAGACAATCGCTGGCCAAATGCGCAGCACCAGATCCTTGTCCGATTCCACAATATTGCCATACAAATACGCGGGTGTTGCCAGAAAGGCCTGGAGAAACGAGCGAGATCAAGATGCCGAGTTAATACAGAGAGAGCTCTTCCATATGTAGACGAAAGAGAGACAGAGAGACACACAGAGAGAGAGAGAGAGAGAGAGAGAGGGAGAGATTTGCTATTTACGTGTATGGCAAAGCCGCAGAGCATGTACTTCTGTTGTATGTGCTTCTTGACCACCCGGCGCCGCTGGACACCGGCGGTGGCGCGGGCAGCGGTGCGCCGTACGGCTGTAGCAGCCACTGGAACCGCTGCCACTGTTGCCATTGGCATTGTCGTCATTCCTGGCTAGCTGCGGCAATTGAGAAATGCGACCACACTGGGGATGATCCGGATCCGTTTGCTTCTCGTGTGTGGAATTTTTGTGTGCGGGTACTGTGCGAGGCGCGTCGTCTGGCCGTTAGCATTCATCATTTACCAAACCGAAACCCGTTTAGATAATGGCAAAAAACAAAAAAAAAAAAGCAACTGTGATAATAATCGCGCTTATCACATTGAAGATATCTACATACAAACACCCACCCAACCCCACAAAGTGTGTGTGTGTGTGTGTGTGTGTGTGTGTGTGTGTGCAGTCAGTCAGAGATTAACGTCAGATACATATGTAAAAAGTTTGTCTTCAGCGTTGACGCTGTTGGCTTTCCTGCAACGCAGCAGCAGCAGCAGAGGATTATGTTTATGACCAGACGCCAGCTGATCAGACATCAGACACCCTGATAACGTGCAGCATACGATCCGGTAATACTATTATACTATATGGGCCCAATTCGAGTGAACCAAGTTAATCTATTGAGTGCACCGTTTCTCCCAATTGCGCAACACAATAATATACATACACACATATATATATATATTTATTTGGACTCGGAAAAACAAAAAAACAACTTTGACCAAATACAATCTCTTACAAGTAAAGCAAATATTAAGATTACAAAATGTGATTTGATTATTATTATTGCATCTAAATCAGAAAAGAGTGCACAATTCATGAGAAACAACCGTAAAAACTCTTAACCGCAGCTAACTTAACACGCAAATTTGATTGAGTTAACAGTTATTATTTTCATTATTTCTGTGTATATAGGATAAAGCTCTTAAGTACAAACCTAACCTGCATTGGCTACAGCAAACTGCGATTCGAACCTCTCGTTTGGCTCTACTGCTGAGGACTGTGAATTAAAAAGTATTTTTTCTAATTTTTTAAATGTATTTAAAGTCCAAAAGTTATTTATGAATTATATCATAACTTGAATATATATGTTTGTCTGGTTTATTTTGTTTTAAATCGATCTTGATCTTCAAAAAAATATTTTTTTAAGAGTACTTAAGAACAAATAAAAGAAAAAAAAAGGTCTTGGAAAATCAAAATTCTAAAAAAATATTTAGATATATGCGAGGGAAATTCTGGGTGAGAGGAAAATAGTTTTATAATATATAACTGGAAATCGAACTGCCAACTGCAAACAAATGGTTGATGTCTCGGCTAACAGTCCAAGCCGATTTTCGTATTTCAGCTCCTGCTTGTTAACCATATTTCCCACTCACGATATATATCATAGAGAAGTAAGTTCGACATCTCGAAAGGACACGTGTTAAATTGAAAGTAAAAGTAAAAAACAAAAAATATGCAATCTTAATGATGAATCATTTGTTTTCTTGTTTTGTTTTTTTTTTAACATTTTTTTAACTTTTATCACTCAAACAGGCAAGGTTCATGGTTATAAATAATGCTGAGCGGCCGGGGGAGATAGGCAAAAAGTACCCGCCCGTCCGATCGGGGCTCATCCAGTTGCAGATTTCCCCCCCCAGATATATTATAATATGAGCACGTCTGTCGCTTGACCTCCTATCATGGCGCTTATCAAGACCGAGTATATCTTTACACACTTCCGTTTCACATCCGTGGACAGAGAGCTGTACTGGGCGTGGCAACAGCTGATTTTATGGCTTTACAACTGTATTTTGTTATGGTTGATGACGTTAAAGCAACGGTTTTATTTGCGCTATATACTAAGTCAGACTGGAGACGGAGATAGGGCCAGGTTGGCAATTAGCCGCTAGGGTTGATAAGCCGCAGCATCCGCCGACAAGATTCTGCTATATAATAGGGTGTGGGTAACGGCAGTAGCTCATACAACGATCGACCGAAGTTAGCCACCGGCAACACGATGACGACGACGACGACGACAACCAAAGCAACCAGAACAACCAAAACAACCGGAACAACAACGATGACAGCGAGGCGCGGAAAGTTCTCGACAGCATCCTCGGTGCTGCTGCTCTGCGCAGCCCTGGTGAGTCTCATTTGGCCGTGTGCTCAGGATATGGATATCTAACGGTTAGTCACTTGCAGCTAATGACCAAGTCCTGCGGCATTCTGGCCCTCAGTGGCGATGGCAATGCCCAGTTGCCAGGTCAGGCAGACGCCTGGAGCGAGACAACAACAGTCAGCGAAGGCAGCGGCTGGGAGGTAACAATTGGGAGCACAGATCAGCCAGAGGCACCAACAACAGAGCCCATAGAGGAGCAGGATACAACAACAATTGGGGCGGATATACCAACGGAAGGAGGCGTAGAGACTACTGCGCCCACCACGCTCAATCCCAACGAGCCCGAGCCGGAGACTACAGCTGCGCCCACTGAGGAACCGTCCACTGCGGGCCCCGGCGAGGAACAGTCAACCACTGCAGGCCCCGGCGAGGAGCAGTCTTCCTCAAGCCCCAGCGAGCAGCCGTCCACTTCTAGCCCCGGCGGGGAGCAGTCGACCACTGCAGGCCCCGGCGAGGAGCAGTCCTCTTCAGGCCCCAGCGAGGAGCCACCGACCACCACACCCAGCGAGGAGCTGCCCACCACAACGGAAGCAGAGCCAATTATAACCACGATTGCACCAACGCCACCGGCACCGCCCGTATTCGAGTGCCCGACCGTGGGTCTATTCCCAGACATCAGTGGCGACTGTCAGCGCTTCCACAACTGTCTGCTGAATCTGCTGACGGGTGAGCTGAAGTCCTATGATATGGTATGCCCGCCACTGCTGGCCTTCTCGCCCAGCTACGGCCGCTGCGTGCGCGATTTGGCGGAATGCGACAGCGATGCGTTCGTTTGCCCGAGGCCCGGACGCTTTGCCGGCAGCGATGAGACCCACTACTATAACTGTGTGCCGAGCCTGCGCGGAGGTTTCCACAAGTACATCGTGCGCTGCTCCGTTGGTCAGCGCTTTGAGCCTTTGATAGGCCGCTGCTGGCGTTACGATTGGTCGCTATTGTTGCCCGGACAGGCGCTGGAAGCTAGCGACTTGGCGGCCATCAAGCGTGAACAAAAGGAATTGAAGGCGGAGGAAAAGCTGCGCCTGAAGGCCCAGAAGAATCAAGAGAAATTGGCCCGCAAGCAGCAGAAACTGGAGGAGAAACTGGCCAAGAAGGCGGCCAAGGAACAGGCCAAGAAGGACGCCAAGGCCAACAAACCCCTGTCCGTCGAGAGCGCCGAGTCCCCAGAGCAGCCCAGCTTCGAGTTCTAAGTCCAATCTAATCCAATCCAATCCAATCCAATCCCCAAATTCCTCACGCACTCACAATCTATGCTGGTGTATATAGCGTAGTCTCATTTGGTTATGGTACTTTAATTCTATCATATTTTTTTTTCTTTCCGTATTGCATGAATAAAGACTAAAATTCTTTAATATTCACACTCTATATGGGCTTGTGGCCAGTCGCAGCGGCGGCTCGTTTTATCAGCTAATCGGAGGCAATCTCCGAAAATTGTTATTAAGTTGTTTGTGGTCGACTATAAAAGAAGCGAGCCTAGAGCCCAGTCCAGTTAGTCTGTCGAAACAAGTAACGAGTCGCTAAAGATATTGCCAAAAAAAAAAAGGACGACATTTTGCCGTAAGCTACGAATATGTTGAACATTCACGTGGCACTGGCCGCCGTGTGCCTGGCGCTGTGCGGAGCCGCCCAGGCCGGAGACAGTCCCCATCCCTGCAGTCGCACTGGATTCGTTGCGCTCGTGGATAATGCGCAGGAGTACTTTGCCTGCGAACCAACACCGAATGCTGGTTACTCAATGAGACGTTTGCGGTGCCAGGACAATATGAGCTTCAACTCGGAGCTGGCCAAATGTGTGGAGCGGGCGCGGGACGCAGTCGCAGCTGATGGCAGCGACATTGAGAATCCCACAATACCGCCAGGCAATTTTGAGGATTCCACTGAGGACCCTGATCCAACTAATGCGCCCAGTTCCACCAAGGAGCCTGAACCAACTGATGCGCCCGGTTCCACCAAGGAGCCAGAGCCAACTGATGCGCCCGGTTCCACCAAGGAGCCAGAGCCAACTGATGCGCCCGGTTCCACTAAGGAGCCAGAGCCAACTGATGCGCCCGGTTCCACTAAGGAGCCAGAGCCAACTGATGCGCCCGGTTCCACCAAGGAGCCAGAGCCAACTGATGCGCCCGGTTCCACCAAGGAGCCAGGAACAACTGATACGCCCGGTTCCACTAAGGAGCCAGAGCCAACTGATGCGCCCAGTTCCACTAAGGAGCCAGGAACAACTGATGCGCCCGGTTCCACCAAGGAACCTGAGCCAACTGATGCGCCCGGTTCCACAAACGAGCCAGGAACAACTGATGCGCCCGGTTCCACTAAGGAACCTGAGTCAACTGATGCGCCCGGTTCCACAAACGAGCCAGGAACAACTGATGCGCCCGGGTCACCAAGTCCAAATCCAAATCCCACCACCGAACAACCTGGAACGAGCACCACAGTAAGGGAAGTTTGCGCAACAACAGGCTTTCTGCCCAAGAATGGAAACTGTGATCAATATATAATATGCTATGAGGACGATGAGGGGGATTTAATTGCCTTGACCCAAGACTGCCCAGTAGGGATGCAGTTCAATCCCGATGAGAGCTGCTGCGAGTTGGGCTACGATTGCACCAATCCAACAACCTCGGAACAGTGAGAATAAGTGAAGAATTTTAGAGATGAAATAAATATCCCACTGTGTACTATTAAGCAATGCATAACTATACCAAAATTTTTTGTTCTATACTTATGGAATATTTTTTTTTTTTGTTTGTTTTTCTTCCATATAAATAAATTTTAGTTTAATTGACGTTAATTGATTGCAAAAGCATATCACGCATTGTACCTGAACGGGGCTAAAAATCAATTCGGTTACAATGGGAAATATTTGTGACATCGATAAGGAGGCAATTTAATTTTCGATACCGCCTTTCCCTCATATCTTATCAATGGCACTTGAAGTTCTTCCAATATTTAACTGCCCAATTAAACATCGAATGGCTCCCATTCAGCCTTAATTACGAGCTACTCGAATCAGATTCGAGCCCAGATTCGAACGTAGCGCTTTCAGGGATATCTGTGGATCTGTGGACCTGAGCTGGCCAATTATAGGCAATCCAATTTGATTGGGCATATTATTAACTTATTGCTAAGAAAAACTATTATTATTCGAAAAATGACAGTTTCGAAATTACAATAAATATGATCAGGAAAGTTGTGAATCAGAGTTCGTAATTGCCGCGTATTTACGATAGGAAATGTACCCTAAACGCGTTTAGTAATCATTTTTCGCAGTAAAAAGATATTTATCTAGGCTTATTTGAGATAACCCTAAATAATTTAAAACAAACCTAATCTTATCTGGGCAATGCCTTATAAAAAATAATCGCAACATATGCGAATCGGTGTTGCAGGGGGAATCTTTTCATTAAATATGTATACCCTTGCGGAGGGTATTAGAGTTTTGTCAAGCACTTTGTAAAATTACCCCAAAATGTTGATCAGTATCAACAGATGAGTTGGAATATATATATGAAGTTATCTAAAATAAGTAAATGTGAGGAAAATCGGATCGAAATCTGAATACTTTATTATACAGCTCGCTAGGAACGATCGGTTGTGAATAAGGCTTTTATATAAAAGCAAATCTAAGAGTATTCGATATTCTTCCTGTTGCCGCTTCATATTCATATTAATAAGAATATTTATAAATAAGCAATGGGCGTATTGAATAAGAGGAAGCATTTAGAAAGCCATTAGAAAGGGAGGGGGGAGTGGCAGGTGCCATATGGAATGCATAGAAATCTGCAATGAACGCAATAAATATGCAAGCAAATCGCACGGCGGCCGCAACTCGATGAATTCTCAAATGAGTGAAAGTTGGCGGCGCCGACGATTGCATAAGGCAGCAGCACCGGGGGGCTGGTAGGCAGACGACGGGGCGGGGCGGGGCGGGGCGGTCTGTTTGAGCTGGCATAGACGAAGCGGGAACCGTCGCTTGGTTGGACAATTGCGCATGCGCGTAACTCGTTAAAATGATTTCAACGCTGGCGACAATTAAAGCAGGCCGAGCTTCACTCCCAGCTCCAGCTCCAGCTCCAGCCGCAGTCGCAGCCCAGGCAGACGGCTTCAAATGCAAAATCACGCCGGATTTTGGACTCAGTCCAGGCACGTATCGGCCCCCCTCCTCCGTCACTTAGTGCTGATGATGATGTGATAAGAGTTGGAGCAGCGCAAAAAAAATAAAACGAGACGAGCTACGTGCAACACACTCGGAGACTGGACTGGACTGGAGAGTGTGTGTGTGCCATTTGGCCCTAAATGTATCTTTAGACATTAGCTGCTGGCTGTACTATGTAGCTAACAGTGATGATGTTTTGTTCCTCGCTTTCTTTGGGCAGGTGTTGCGCAGCTGACCCAGCAAACAAGTCAACAGTAAACAAATCACAAACATTTCGTGCGAACCTTTCTTTTATTATTATCATCATTTTTGTTGGGCGCACAAACTGCGCCCACTGCTGACCCAAAATGTAGAGGGGGGGCAGCTGAGATAAATGGCCAGATACAATTGTATCTTTATTTGAATGTTGCTCATGCTCGCACTTGTTATGTAATTTGCGCATTTACACGTTGTTTTCATCTTGTCGCCGGGGTTATATTGTTGCCCAAACATCAAATTATTTGAGAGAGCAAAAAAATATGCCAGCCAAGATCGGCATTTAAATGTTGTACAATTATGCGATCCACATTATGCAGATGAGGCAGACAACAATTGCTGCTGTTTGTTAAAAAGAAATTTTTGCCCCATTACCTGGCGGGCGACTGGGTAATACCCCAGAACTCCAACCCAGAGCAGTTCAGATCGGCTGGCAGCAGCTAAAACCAAATAAAATTTATAGATAGGCGGCTGTCAATTTTATACAGTAAAATGCTATATTATGTACAAATATCTTGTACGAAGGCATATTAATATTATATACATATATGTGTGTGTGCATGTATGTGTGTGGGCGTGTGTGTGTTAGTGTATGCATTTATGTATGCATGCATGTTCGCCTTTTAAGACCAAACGCAGAACGAGCTTTTGTATGTGTCTGTATGTTTGTGTATGTGTGTGTGTGTGTGTATGTATGTATGTGCGTATATAAGTATGTATGTATGTATGCATGTAAATTGTCTTATAAAATACCAATAGCAGACCAAATTGTCTTGTTGCGCGGCAAATTTAAATAAGAAAACGCATTTATTAAAGATGCCTTCCTCCTCGATTCTCAAGAATTAAAGTAAGGCTTGCAGGTTTCACCTATGAATAAGGCGCAGGCGGCCTCATCGCTGGAAGCTGAGGAGCCGGAGGAGCTCGGCGGAGGAGCAGGAGGCGTATGTATGTAGGTATGTATGTACATATGTAGGTATGTAGGTATGTATGTATGTAGGTAGGTATGTATGTAGGTATGTATGTATGTATGTATGTATGTATGTATGTATGTATGTATGTATGTAGGTTTGTATGTGTGTATGTATGTATGTCTGTCTGTATGTATGTATGCATGTACGCATGCGCGCATGTTTGCATGCGTGCATGTTTGCATATATACAAACAAACATGCATATATATTTTTACAAACATACACACATATGCAGACATGCACTCAAAATAACATGTATGCATGCATATATACATACATGTATATAAGGGTATGTTTGTTTGTATTTATGTGTGCATGTTTGTAGGTATTCGGACATGTATTCATACATGCAAACATAACAAACATGCATACATGTGAGTACAAACAGGCATACACAAACTTGGCACAGAATCATTTAACTGATCGTATTACTATAACTAGTATCTGTTGTTTTTTTTTTCTTAATACATGTTGGTCAAACTTGGCAGTTTCTAAGTTTTAATGTTACTTTGGCAATTACGAGATTCACCACATTTTAATCTCTGCAGCATTCGTCTAGTACTTATAACAATTTTAAAATACTATTTTTTTTTTCAATGCTATTTATTTGGTGTTCTCTATTAACGTATTCTCTACTTCTGCTCACACACTCGATTTGTCGACCATTTCTAATAATTAATATCAAGTAAGAAAATTAATAAGCCGGGTAAATGATAAATTACTTGATTTAGTTTTTTTATTATTGCTGTTGCAATTTTAATTTCTATGCAACTCTGAATTTGCTTAGAGCAGTTCACGCAGTGTTGCAAGGATGCCTCAGTTTGAGTTCTAGTTCCCGGTCCCGTTCCCGTTCCCGTTCCAGTACCCGTTCCAGTTCCAGCTGCAGCTGCTGTTGTCACAGATATTTGCAACATTTTGCATGTTGCCTTTGAGCAAAAACCGCCCGCGAGTAGTCACGTAGCGCTAGAGACAAGCGACATCCACAACTTGGCTCCGTTTCCGTCTCGCTCTCGCTCTCCCGGTGCCGCTCTTTCTCTGTCTGACTGCTGCTCGCGACAGTCTCACGGTGCGACGTCGCGTTTGCCGCTTTACCTGCCGCATTTTCTATGCGCGCGGCTCAGTTTGTGGGCGCCTGCGCGCATGTGCAGTTTGTTTTGGTCTTTGGCTTCGATCGCTTGGCTTGGCTAACGGTTAACGAGATACAGTCGAGTGCTACGAGTGCTAGATCCGTTATTTGAGATTTGAGATCCCGAGCTACACAGACGTGGGTGTACATAATCGAGCATCAATTCGTGCCGTATGTCGAAAACAAAAGTGATAACAAAATCAAGTGCGACAATTTACTGAAAATCCAATTATTTATGCATATTTTTTTTTCGATTTTTTTTTATATTTTACTAACGTGCAATCTTTTATAGATAATTTTTTAAAATAAATATATTTTTTTTGTACATCGAAGTGATCAGCACATACATATATACCTAAAAATATAAAAGAAAAAACGAGTGTTATTCCCACGTAAAGCCGTCAATTTGTACCTGTCGGCCGCGCAGGATCAATCAAATAAACTGACAGACCCTTCGACTGGATAACGCAGCATTTCTCGAAGGCGGCGAACAACACTTCAACACTTTTCCTGGGAAATTTGTATGCCTTTACGGCACACACACTGAAAATGGTAAGTGTGGAAATGGTAGTACCAGCCAGCCCGACAAAACCAAAGCAAAGCAAAAGCAAATAAAAACAAATGACGCATTGGGCAGCCCATTTACCGAGAATTTTCACATGGCTGGCAAGTTTACGACTCTCGACTAGGGTTAGGTCAGGTTTTCAGTGCTCGCGATGACTCCGTAGAATGTCAAGGGCTTGCTAATGCCCATGCCAAAGTGGAGCTCAAACCCGATCACTTTCCACTTTTCTGGCTCTACTGAGCATATATGCATATCATATTATAAAATATAATATATCTTTTTAAGGGAGGAATTCAGTTCAGTAAAAGCCAAAGCTTCGATATGAACGTCGCATCTCGATTTTTATAATGAAGGATACAGAAAATGTCTAAACTGATTTCATAAAATGTTCTTAGGTTTTTACTTCGTTGAGACACAGCACATTCTAGAATTCTTGAGCGTTTTTTTTCTGCAAAGATCTACATCTTTTTGTCTAGCTGTTACCAATTGGGGATTATAGATTCATTATTATATTTATTATAATTATAAATGTTATCATTTTCATTATTATTCCTATTATT